AAGGTTCAACTCGATTAAACACCCGTGCACTTATATATATATATATATATATATATATATATATATATATATATATATATATATGTGTGTGTATATATATATATATATATATATATATATATATATATATATATCAATGGTGTTTTTATAGAAGTGTTTTCTTCCAACTTCAATAAAAAAATAAAAATAAAAAAAGCAGCGATATACGCAATCCTATATAAATTCAAAATTTAAAAATTAATCAGTTTGTCTGACGATCGCAAAAGCGTGAAACCCAGCGTCACAAACTCACATCAATCCAACTAAATATATTATCTCTATCACTGATATTGAGCGCATTCCAATAAGTACTGCGCATTAAAATGAATATATATATATATATATATATATATATATATATATATATATATATATATTTCACACACACAAACACTCACACACACACACACACACACATATATATATATATATATATATATATATATATATATAGTTAAGCATATGCAAAAAGCAGCGTACGTGAGGAAAAATAAACGAAAGCAGATTCTTCTCTAATTAAAAAATATTTACCACTCAATTAAGGTTATAAAATAAATGATTTCGACTATACATGCAGCTGGTTTATTTTAACAGGGGCGCATAGTGACCACATGACTCTTGTAGATAAAATCCCTGGGGTTATTTAGCCCTGTGTATCAGCAGTTAAGGGCTGATATTTATTTATTTTTCACCGGTTGAAATCATCTGGACTGATAAAATTATAGGCAGTGCGTACGTGCGTGTGTGCGTGCGTCTCTGTGTGTGATTCTGTGAGTGAGATCCTGTGTTAGAGATATTTTCAGTCTTTACAATTTTGTGTATAAGTGTGTGCGTGTGTGCGTGTGTGTGTGCGTGTGTGTGTAATTCTGCATATAGGTCACATTTTATGTATATCAATATTGCTGAATACGGACGGTGGTGTGTGGTTGTTGGAGGTGACTTTCTCTTGTACTTGTGGTAGGTAGTTTTCTTTCTTTCTTTTTTCTTCTTTCTTTTCTTTTTTTTTTACCAACTATGCACAAATTACGTTTACCTAAATATGCCCGAAGTATATCTAACTTACATACACGATTTTGTACACAAAATAAAATAAGATTTTCAATACTACAAAATTCATTACAATTGAAATTTTAACAAAAACTGCCTATATATATTTAAAAAAAGAAAAAAATTTCTTTTGACTTCAAATCTTATTCTTGATTTGGCAGTTGACATAAATATACGAAACCAAAGCATAATTTATTTAAATAATATCTCGTGTTTAAATGTTAAATAAAAGCTTATTGATTTAATTTATGAAATGATTTTTGAATATTTTAAAGTTAACCGTTTCAAATCGCCGTGTCACAATCAGGAAAGTTTGAGAATCATAATAATAATAATAATAATAATAATAACAGAACAATCAAAGCTGATCGCCCTGACACCATGATTAGAGATCGCAAAAACAAATGTCCCTCCTTATTTACATAGAAGTCCCCTCAGACTGTAATGTATCTTTGAAGATCTTCAAAAAACTATCAAAGTACAAGGTCCTTAAGATCGAAATCTCAAAAATATGGCGCCTGAGAACATTAACAATTCCAGTTTTAGTTGGAGCCCTCGGACTGATTGCAAAAGATTCCAATAAACTTATTGAAGGAATCCTTGATAGCCGATGTCTTAAAGAAATACAAAAAATTGTTCTTACAAGTACAGCTCACTCCTTAAGAAGAGCTTTATCTATGTAAAATATGTGCGATTTTTTTAAACTGCTCAGTGGAAAATATCATGATACCATTTCTGACCTTAGGTCTCTGGTCGGGACCCGGAAAGAAATGACTACATACCAAAAACCAAAGAAAATAAAATAATAATAATAAATGTAAGTATGTATGTAGGGAGGTAAGTAGGTATATCAATAGCCGTAACCGAATTATGAATAAAATAGCATTTATGTTACACAAGAAATTATATTTTAATGGAGCCTCCAGCCTTGTCATTTCACTTAATTCTGTGATTAATATTAATTACATCGAACATTAGAAAGTCAGTTAATAATTATGCGGCAAGCTGCAGGCTTACTAAGCCATATATATATATATATATATATATATATATATATATATATATATATATACTATTATTATTATTATTTACTACAACAAACGTTATTTTGCGGCTAGCCGTGGTCGGGTAGACGCTTCGATTTTATAAACAGCGTAAAATACGTCTATAACTATATCGGATTATGAATTCAAGAGATTTAATAAAGGAGATGCGGTCTTCGGCAGGATTGGAAGTTGCGTCTCCCTTTGTACAAGAAGCCGGGACCTTTGAACCGCTGAGATATAAACATATATATATATATATATATATATATATATATATATAGAGAGAGAGAGAGAGAGAGAGAGAGAGAGAGAGAGAGAGTGGGATAGATAGAAAGATAGAGATATGCATACCTATATGTATAATGTAATGTAGAGAGAGAGAGAGAACGTGCTGGTCAAAAGTTAAAAATATATATATATATATATGATGGTTCCACTAAGTTTGCAGCCTGTCACATGATTATTAACTGAATATATATACAAAACTCTAGGAGACTTTTGATCACCGCCATGTATATACATACTCACACACACACACACACACATATATATATATATATATGTATGTATATAAAAAATATATATATTTATGTATATAAAAAAAAACATGGTTGGAACTGTGTAGTGAAAAAACATTTTAAATCGATTAATTTAATATATATATATATATATATATATATATATATATATATATATATATATATATATACAAACACACACACACACACACACATATATATATATATATATATATATAGTTCTGGTCAAAGAGTGATAGAATTTTGAAAATATTCTCTCAATATACATACATATGTGTGCGTGTGTGTGCACGCTCCTGCAATTTTATTTTTTATATTTCTCTCATATATATATATATATATATATATATATATATATATATATATATATGCTTAGATGGTTATTAATGGCACTAGAGGTACAAGGTAGAATTTCAAATGTTGATTGTTCAGTCGTCCACTTGGGAGCTCCGTGCAACATAATCTTTACGTCTTTATTACGCCCCCACCCCCGCACATACCTTCACCACCAACTATTTGGCCTTGGTCGTTCAAAAATAAGTGCAGCAATCAATTTAAACACAAGCCTAAATGTGGGGAGAAGAGGATAAAGATTGTGTTACAATAACCAAGTGAGAATCATGGTTTTACTTGCGAACGAACCCGAAAAGTGTATGTGCGATAAACGTAAATGCCACATCTAACAACCAAGACAATTTCTGTCTGCATTCATCGCTAAATCTTAGTAATATAATGATTTAGCATGCGTAGCTTAGAAGTGACACAAGGCCATAAGTATGGAGCACTCAGTGAACATATCTATCTATCTATCTATCTATCTATATATATATATATATATATATATATATATATATATATAGTACCCATTATTGTCAGAGACAATAATGGATACTATAATATTTATTTTATCATAAGCAATGCCCTGATGATGACATGGATCAGTCGAAAGTACTTGATAATAAGACAAATATGTATAAACACGGCAATTTTCTCTCGTCTTGCAATAAAAAACTTATCTGCGATTATGAAAGGATCTTATCGAAAATAAGTAGGCAGTATATGTCTAAATTGTAGAACGAAACATATATATATATATATATATATATATATATATATATATATATATATATATGCATATCTTTGTGTGTTTGTATGTGTGTGTGTGTGCGGAATGTTGGAAGATTACGTTTTTGTGACCGAAATACTATAAAAGTAACAAGCACATGCGTTAAAAGAATTTTCATGATAAAATACATTTCAGGTAGTTAATAATTATATATGTTAAATATACATACATATACGCACGCACACACATATATATATATACATACACACACACACGCACCCACACATATATATATACACACACACACACACACACACACACATATATATATATATATATATATATATATATATATATATATATATATATATATATATATATATATATAGGAGTCAGAAATAATTTTCATCATTAGGATTCAGGCTAAATGACGAACTTATTTAGATGCGAGTGCGTGTACACGCGTTTGTTTATATTTTAAACCAGGATGTGTAGTGATAATAATATCTTACTCACGTGTTGTAACTTAGTTCTGGGACCTTGTGCGGATCTAACTCACTATATATACCCTCTCAACGATTTTCTTAAAACATGGGAAATTTTTTTTTTTTTTCATGTGTCGATATTGGAATACTTCAATTTATGTATGTGTATGTTTTTTGTGTATGTGTTGGGATCTGCTTACGCGTGCGCGCGTATAACCTAGACACGTGTTTCTGGTCAAATCTACAGAATCGTAGACACAACTCTCTCCCTCTCTTTATTAATCTATCTCTCTCTCTCCTCCTGCGTCTCTTCCTCATCTCTCACTCACTGATTTATCAGAGTGAACTAATTCAGATTGTATTCACTGAAGTACTGACTACCAAACAAGCAGCCGACCGCGCTCACTACTATACAAACTTTATTTGCGCTCGCGTGATCTCTCACTCTGTTATATACGATAGTACTTCATTCGCTCGTTGGCTGGCTGGCTAGCGAGCTGGCTGGCTTACCGCTCTTCGTTTACTCACCTTGTCAATGACCCTTGGGCTAGACAGACTAACAGTAAGTTAACAGCATACACCACTACCATCAGTACAAAACAAAACAAACAAACAAAATAAAGACACAACAGCCGTTGACCATTTTTATCTAGTTTATGCATACGACTTTTTCTGTAGTCTGATTTTCTACTCCCACTTCTACCCTCATACATTCATTCATAGACCACACTCTATCAGTTCGTGGCCGACGCACGGCCACAAATTCTCCCCTTGCACGATGCCGGCCTCAGTTACTCGAGTTTTTCTGTCACTTTTGCTGGGGATCACTGACTGGACAATATTCGTTACGGGCAGTGCTAAATCGGGTCCGGAGGCTTGTCCTGGACAGTGTCGCTGCAACATTGTCCCCATAGAACGATCAAAAGCTGACCACAGCTACTGGGCCTCAACAAGAAGTGAAAAGTACGATATAATGAACGATCCCTCATACCATCAAAACAAGCACATTTCAAACCAGAGTGCATCTGAAGATAGCCCTAACAAAGAAGTTGTGGGCCCCTACTCACACCATTACCCATCTCATGCCATTCAACATCAACATCATGGTCAGCCTCCAAATATACGAACTCTGCATAAGCGTCATAATCAACACAATCAAAAACAGTCTCACCGCTATCCATACTCATTACGACGACTACGACGAACTCTGACCTCTCCACACGATACAAAACGGAGTGTCCACCGGCCGAAGAAGTTTCGGGCGGGTTTGGACCAACGTCATCACTGGTGGAGGACGTACTCCTTACGCCAACTCAGCCAGTATAAAACCGATGTAAATATTTACAATGAGACACGTTCGCGGGTGCACACGGCGTTCGATATTCGTCATGAACAAGGGACAGACTTGATGTGTGTTGGAATGAAACATTTACCTACATCCCTACCGTCAGGTAAGAAAAGATGAATTTACATCATCGATGTTATTAATTAGCTTTGATACTGATCAGACGTATCGGTAATAATACCTGTTAACAATGAATGAATTAAAAAAAAAAAGAGGGAAAAAACTTTGATAAGTGATGAAAAAATATTGGGTAATAAATATGTAGTACTTCGTGTGTATATGTGTACGTGAGATCAGTTTATACTTTATACTTTATAGGAATACGTGCGTCCTTTTTGGGGGGAGTGTATTTTTATAATAATAAACACTTACAAGGTGAACAGACATATTTCATTCTGTGGAAAGAAAACAATATTTTATCATTAACATCTGTCGTTTTTTTTATGTTATACCCTTTTGGCGATAATGGATCTCCACAGACTCCGTTCCTTTCTTTATTTGTGAATTAGCATAACTTCTTGGGGAAGATAGTAATTTTCTGTTGTCTTCACCACGGTTTTCAATTCAATGTGGATCTTTCTCCTAGACTGGCTATCACCCAAGGCTAAGAAAGAAATGGATAATTACGTTTAAATGTTTAATATTAAATAAAAATAATAAATAAAAAAATAGAAATATCTACTAAAATTTACACTATTAAATAATGATATGAATATATTTAATTAAAATATTAATTAAAATATAACAAATTAAAATATTAATTAAAATACAAAATTTTAAAAAAATAAATATATAAAAAAATTATTTTGTATAGTTTTTGATATATTTAATTTTTTAACCGTAATAAATAAATTTATTTATTTATTTATTACGATCTTTATGTAGTTTTTAATATATTCAATTTTAATTAATATTTTTTTTATTTTTTATTTTAATTAACATTGAACATTTTTTATTTTTTACATCTTATAAAATCCATCAGGTTAATATAAAACAATATAAATTTATTACATAAAAAATAAATATCAAATAAAACTAAAACATCAAATAAAAGATAACACGAAAACACGAAATAAAATGAAAAGATTTAATGAAACTATAAATAGATGTAATAAAAATATACATAAATAATGAAAATTAATACTGATATAACATATATATATATATATATATATATATATATATATATATATATATATATATATATATATATATATATATAAGCCTATACATGTTCAAACATTTATGAACAAAAGAACGAGTCTGAAAACCGAGTTTAATGCAAATTATTAACTCTTTAATCATATGCAAAATTAATTCTGAGAATTAAAACTTTTGTTGTTATCAGCTGTTAGCCATCACCTCTTTGTTGGTAGGAGAGTTTCGCCTGTGAGTTTACTTATAAAGGGTGTTTCATTAAGACGGACCAAAGTCAGTAGTAAATAAATCAGTGTTATTGGTGAAAATTTATTTATTTCTCTATTGGATCATGTTCTTTAAGTCATGGCAATTATGTGTGAAAAATAATATCGCCCAAATGTCCGCCAAATCTGAGAATAAAAGAGAAAAAAATCATTAGACGCTTAAACTTAATTCACATTTAAAACTGGTCCAAGTTATTGGAACACCTTTTATAAGTCATTGTGTCAGTGTACGTCTGTGAAACAATTAGATATTTTTTGAGATGTAGCGATTAAATAACTGCATAAAAGTAAAATGAAGTGAAAAAGGACGTTTGTACTTATAGTAATTTCGGTGAGTGATGTTAAACATTTAAATACATATATTCATGTCACCACTAGGGCATTTAGGACGGTGTAATGGTTAGCAACGATTGAGTAGTGAGTTCGATCTTCACTTAGTGCCACCTACTTTCGGCCGCATCTAAGCTACGCTTGGGAAATCACTATATTGATGTGGCCGCTTGATATGCCATATCTTTTCTGCCGACAAGCTCGACGACTGCTTAACAAATATGCACACTTATTAAATAATTTATTAAAATGTTAAATAAATATGTAGTTGCTGAATGTGTGTTTCATGAAATTGTTTCCCTTTTGATCACTGATGTGCGTGATATGGGGACAGATATGTTCTGCCATATCCGCTACAGGAGAAGACCTGATGAGTATCGATTTTTACAGAATCTCAAATTTTGTAGCGCTGTCGCTTTCTCCTCAAAACTGGTTCTGCGGTTCAACCCAAACAGGAAGATCACCTGTAAGACTCTCGCTTCGTTTTCCTGTTATTTATTTTGCATTTGCCATTGGCGTTAGTCGATGCCACAGGAGGTGAAGGTCTTCTTTAAGGAGACATTACATCTCTTCAATGTCACCTCCCTGACTTGATGACGCGTTAACAGTACATCGAACTGAAACCGTTGGTAGGCGTGAGTCTTCGTCCTTGACACGTGACCTGTCCAGCGTAGGTGTATCTTCCATAGCATGGGCTTCTTGCTTGTGCTTTTCGCAGAAGTGAGGACATCAGTGTTATTAATGAAGACGTCTCAGAGCACATTGAGAATGGCACGGAAGCAGCTCGGATGGAAGCGTTCAAGTAGCCGTAGGCGACGGCGGTAGATGACCCACATATTTAATACATACGCCTTTATTCACACGTGTTCACAAATGACCATTGGTATATATATGTTTATCTCTCTTTCTTTTTCCTGCACACACACACACGCACGCGCACGCGCACGCACACACACACACACACACAAACAAACATATGTATGTATGCGTATTTAGGTAGCAGGCATTCATTAATGCATGTTTGATTTAAGTCAATAGACAAGGGATATGCTTTTAGTAAAAGTCTTGTTTACTGGATTACAGACAAGCGAATGCATATCTGGATAAAATTAATATAAATATTATCTAAACGTTTGACCTGTTACCCTATATATACTTGTAACTTACCTACCCTAAACAGGCCGGTAGAGGTTCAATGAATACCAGGCTCGAGCTTCAATTGTCCTTCATCTGAAGCATTCTAGTAATGACTGCGCCGAATAAGTCATTCATCGGCACCTGAAGCGTTCCAAAATGGGGAAGTGTGGAGGAGACTGGGACAATTTTAGTACGGTGACTAAATCCCACTTTTGTGCGAATAGGGGCATGGAAAAATACCAAATCCAAACCGTTATCAAGATAAGTGACAAATGTAGATGTTATTCTTTTTTCAATATTGGATTCTGTTATGGCAATTTACCCACGCACGCATAGACTTTCTCAGCTATAAATAGGAGCAGGTACTGCCTTTTAGAAAGAGAATTTACCAGCAGTCAGCTCTGACAGTCGGACCGAACATTCTTGCTGTAACACTCTCGTTTGTATATGTCTGTATTACTGTTTCTGTTAATATATTTGTTTAACTCAGTTCCTCTCTCTTGTGTCTTTATTTTCTGGTTCTAACAAGGCCAAAACAGATTCAGACATAAGTTCTCTTGTGCGTAAATATTCAGTAACCCACTAGATTAAGTGGTCCTTATATTGGGTGAACGTTAGTAAAAAAAATAGTTAACAAAGAACATTTCTATAAAAACAGACATAGTTATTTTTAAAGAAAGAAAGGTAAATAAACATTATAACAATTAAAATAAAAATATAACATTAAATTTTAAAAAATGATTATAATCTCTATCTATAAAAGGCAGGATGTGTGTGCGTGTGAGTGTGTGTGTGAGTGTGTGTGTGTGTGTGTGTGTGTGTAACAAATGCACGTCCGCAATTTTCGACAGATTTGCACCAAAATTTACATGCACATGCTCCAAGTTAGCGGGAAGGCCAAGGCCGACTTTGCATTTCCCAACTCCCATCGATGGTGGAAATAATCGATTTTTTCATGCTTCTACGGCAGTTTTCATGTAGTTTGCGGCCATTTTCTACTGGCCAGAGTGAGAGCCTATAGTTGGCTGCCACGAATAGGCATGAAGATTCTACTGGCCAGCGTGAGAGCCAACAGCTGACTGACACAAATGTTAACTAACATGCTAGCATGCAAAAAAAATCGATAGCTGCATTCGTCACCAGCGGGAAAAATTTAAATCTGCATGGCACTTTACTCCAATTGGCTCATTTGCTTGCTTAAACTCAACGTTGATTCTGATTCCACAGAACTGGGTTGGGTGTGAAAAAGTATTTGTTATTAACATTCTTTTTCATTCGGTTTTTCCAGTTACGAGTCCTTTTTTTAAAGCTGATCGTTTTGTGTTCATTTTGTTTAGTTCTTTTTTCGTAACAGATTTAATGTTTGGTATAGAGCTTAGAAAAAATTCGCAGTGTGAAATAGGCAAGAAGTAAGGCATGTAGCAACATCAGCATGGCAAAGAGCACTCCTTTAAAGGCAAGGAAGGGCAAAATTATTTTTATGTCAAGTGATAGCGATTGCTGTATGAGTCGTACGATTTTTTAATCAAGCACGGGCAACGCCGGGCCATGCTGCTAGTCACCATTCAAAACAATTCGAAAAATAAAATATATATTGAGAAAGGTGGAGAAAAAAAATTAGCTCGATCCTCAGAGCTCTACCGAAGGAAATCAAAATAGTTGTGCATCACGACTAAAAGCGAACCTGAGGATATGAAATACACATATGTTAACAGTCCGTTATTCACTGCCGATTTCCGAAAATGGATAATCTCTTGGCGTCTGCCTCCCACGACAACTGAGCTACAACTTCTCCACACTGCGTGCTACACACCCGCCCTGAGTCAGGAGAATAATGAGAAGGAGCAAAAGAAACAAGTTACCAACTAGGAATTTAAAATACTTTAAAAATTTAGGGTAGCAATCCTCCTGTGACTAACGGATGGTTAATAATAACTTAACATATTTATAATTACTATTTGTTTACTCTTACTTCACCCAATACAAGGCCCAAGAGCTACTCAAGGTAGAGAGTTACTGAGTGAGAATGTTGTAAGCGAGGATGAAACAGAAATTTAAAAAATGTGTACATTATGCTGACGTGTCGCATAGATATCAGTTGACCCTGGATTTAAAGAGACGAAGATTGTAGTTGTCGGGAAAGCATCCTCTCTGGAGCATGTTCCACGAAGCAACAGTTGAGTTTGAGTGAAACTTGCTCCTAGACAAATGAAAACGAAAGGAATAGGG